CTATATCTCATGATGAAGTTGAAGTAAAATTCTCCATCAAGAAAGAGTAAGTTACTGTTACAATAATAAGCTTCTTTTCATCTTAACCCAAGAATCTCAAAACTTTTTCCAGAAAAGTGAACCCCTTCTAGAGCAGGTGAGATGATTCAGACCACAGGCATTTCTGATCAGATATCTTGAGCAGCTGCACGAGCGACTCTGTGATATCATATCCCTGGTCTTTTTCCCTGTTATCTGCAGTTTGGCTGCCTTGCCAGAAGGATGTCTGATGATGTTTCACTCCTCTCTGCCAAACCCCTTCTGGCATAGTGGAAAGCATACCTTGCTTTCTGATGTTTCCAAACTTGTTTCGACTTCTGAGATTTGGCAGGTTTTCTTCTTGGATTTCTTTTGTTTGTTTGTTTGCTTGCTTTTGTGTGTGAATCCATTTTGGGTGATGTACGACTTTGAAATGAGTAGATTTTAGGCTAGCAAGAAAAGCCTGTTGATTATAAAAATTGGAAACAGTTGTTACAGGAATAAAAGTAAAATCAGGAAGTGCAAAGTGTGTCTTTGACACAAAAGTGTTTCTTTGCTACAAGCATTACTGGGTCTTTTCCTAAGTCTTTTCTGAGCTGCAAAGGCCAAGGGACTAGCTCAGCTGCCTGTGTGTTCTTTGAGGTGCTGTGGAAGAAGCTGTCTTTGTCCAGGTTTTCTCAGCTTTATCAGCATGCCACTTGAGTACTGATGAATCTTCAAAATGCATCACAGGTTCCCCTTTCTTCTTTCCCTGACTGGGAAGACGTGCAGTGGCTTTGAATAGTGTCGGTGAGAAAGTCTATAAAACATGGTTTGGTTTGGGGCTGTGTTTTGCCTTTGAGTGAATATTTTTTGATGTGCGGGTTTCTCTGTTTGGTTGCAGAGTTACAGTCTCCGTACCTAATGAGCTTTACAGTACTCAACTTTATGATTTCATAAATTAAAATGTATTTATTCATGACAAGTTCTGTCTGTACAGCATGCCGGTAGTTACACAAGTCTTGCTGTGGCTGTTGGGTTTCTGTGAAGATCACATGAAGATATGTATGAGACGTGGCTAGCTCGGTATACAGGATGCCTTGAGTAAACCCGTGAGTTCCTCCAGTGTGACTGCTCAAAGCCTGTGTCTCTGCTGAAGCTGAGTGGCTCATCCTGTGGTGATTTGGGACACCTATCCTGTTAGTGTGCCAGCTGTTTGAGTCATTTACCTGCTCATTTGCTTCTGTGTGAAAGTGCAGCTGCTTGCATGGAATAGGGGAACAGAAGGAGTGCTGGGTTGGTTTGCTACATTCTCCTTCACATGTTCAGCTCTTTCTGAATAGATGCTGAGGATGAAACAGACTTACGTGTTGAGGTGGTACCGTAACGGCGTAGGCTTAAGACAGGATAGAGTGGAAAGATATTGAGGCAAGTACCTGGGACTTTTTTGTTTAGATACAAATATATTTACTGCAGTTCACCGAGAGAAACCCAACAACAGCAGCACCCTGCTCTTCTGCCAAGGCGCTTGCTGTTGGGATTTCAGCAGTTGGGGCAACTGCACTGTCTTCCTCCAGTGGAAAGGAAGGGAAGGATGCTGTCCCCTGGTTCCAGCAGGGATGTAGCAAGTTATTTAGTGACCAGTTAGTGAAGGAGATTGATGGTGAAAGAAGCGCTACGCAGGCAGATTGAAATTGCAGTAGATGAGGGGAATTGCTGTGGTTGTGCTTGGCCACTCTTGCTGCCCCCACTGCTGAGTTCTCAGGAGGGGTCAGGCAGGATGTGATCCCAGCATTACATTAAGCCTGTAAGGAGACACTCAGGGAACTTAAGATAGATTAACTTAAGGTGTAAAGTTTAAATCATATTATTATGAAGGAGGATTAAGCTAAACTGAGCTAATGACACCACTTCTGAATAAGTAGCCACACAGCAGGTTCAGAGCTTTGGTTCTGTGCCTTTTATTACTTAAATGTACTTACCTTCTTAAATATCCCCATAAAGATACATGCCCTTATAATTCCAGATCTTCACACTCTTCGTTTTCTATGTCAAGGACTGAATATTCTGTGTAAGACATAGATCTGGTTTTCACATAGATCTGATTTTTTTTCTTAGATAAGTAAATGTGTGCATATATGTATATGTGTATATATATTTCAATATATGTATATATTAAAATCGGGCAGCATGGAACTCTTACCTCACTTTTTCCCAATGGCTACAATGGCATTGGTGATGACATGATGGTCTTCATTCTTAGATAAGACATTCAGTAAGGAAGAAATAGCTTGGCTCATTTTATATCAGCAAGCCCTGAATTGAGTGTTACCTACCAATCTCAATAAATGAGCTGTTTCTATGGCTTCTGTTGTTATTTTCACTTTGTTAGGACACTTGATGTTAGCATCTGAATTTTCCAACAGCTCTGCGCTCTCTTATTTTTCACTGTGGGGATTAAAATTGAGTGCAAAGATGAATACTGTAAACTCGCACAAAGTGCTTATCTTACGTTAAACTGTCATAAACTGGTTTAATTTGTAGTTAGCAATAACTTCTAAATAAATAATAAATCAACTGATTTTCAGGAAGGAAACTAATTTAAAATTACTGCTTTGTGGTACAATAAATCAGCCTGCTTTGTAATTAGTACTGTATATCATTTTGTATATATGATGACATCAAAATATAAAATATCATCAGGTATTTCAAGTAGATAAAGGAATAAATAGTTAAAATACAATCAAAACACTAACGTATAGTAAAATTCTTCTATTTAGCTAGTCATCATCCATGAGAGCAAAACGATCACACAGAAAAACTTCAGTGATCAAATGTAAAATGTCACGAAATCTACAGAGCAGGAGAAAAGAAGGTCTTGAGTCAGGAGACTTCTAGGTTAGCTTCCACAGAGTGTTTTGCCACACTGTTTAGTGAAAGCATATGAAACCTGAGACAAAACCTCAAAATGTTTCATTTTATTTGCTGTGTGGCTTGTGGTATCAGATGAAAGCTCTGGCACTTCCTGTGTCTGTGGAGGTCAAACGCAGGCAGTGGTGCTGAAAACTGAACGATGTTCTCAGCCTGAGGAGACTGTCTTCTGTGCCCCAGGGAGGTAATAATGAGCATACTGCACTGATCTTGCTTTGAGTCCTGCTATTTGATAGACTTCTGAGGTGTAAATTTTTATGTATGCATAAAATACAGTCCCTCTAGTTTTTGCCTTTCAACTTCAGCATCAGTCAAGAGGCACAGCATCTCCATCCTAGAGCAGGATTTGGTTATTTCGAGCTGAGTGAGGGGAGAAAGAGGAGATAAATTATCCTCTGGGATCTCTCGGAGTCTCACCTGCTTTCAGAGCAAGCAGTAGTGTTAAGAGTGCAAGTATTGCCCGTGGAACAGGCAACCCATCGTGCCTCCAGTGCTCTGTGCAAGTAGCAGCAGTCACTGCTCTGCTGAAAGGCCCAGGCGAGTGGTATTTTAGTCAACATTCAAAGGTTATTTTCTTCTATTTGTTTATTTCCCTGCAGTCCATGATGGATAATAAAAATAAATAAACAAGGCATTTACTACTACTATTGCAGAAAAAAAAAATCTGGAAGTTCTTAGTCCCAAGACAAGGGTGGAGCAGGGGAAAAGTGTAGAGCCCATATAACAATGGGGAGTCCGTTTTATTGGTATGGAGGAGGAAAATAAAATCTGCTCTGGCAGTGGTGAAATAGAACACCAAGAAGATTACGTAAGTCTTTGTTTGCACACAGTATGATTCTTCTCATTCACCAGCCAATTTGTATATTTGAAAAGCCTGTTGCTTGGTTAAAATAATTAGCTGAACTTCATCCAGTTCCTCAGTTATGTGAAAAAGTATTTGAAGAAATACAGACAATTGTTGTTGAGCATTTAAAATAATAAAAAAAAAAAGTAGTGGTCTCTGAGCAATTATAGCACCTCATCTAAATACCCACATATATATCTTACTTTCAGGATGAGACAGGCAATTCTCAGCGACTCTGCTTTAACTTCTGTGGTTTGGGATAGCATGTTTAAAAGAGCAGCAAAAAAAACCCCCACAAATTCTGCCTGCAACTTGTTCTGGATAGGTTAGCCTGGGGCTGCCTGTGAGAACAGAGAATCTGAAGCTAAATGTATTAAAGTGTATGGAAAGAAAGACAAGTAAACTGAGAACAACTCATGCATTTTTAGTATTTTACAAGTGACATTCAAAAATCTGTATTAACGAACAATCTTATTATGCACTCCTTCACTGTGGGCTATCTCAGATGATTATTTTGGGGAAATCATACACAATTTTTAATACACTTTAGAGTTTGAACATGAAACCACAGCAATAATTTTGTCTAATAGTTCCCACTAGGAGGTCCAGTGTTGCACATTAACAAGATCTTCAGTGGCTGGAAAATCGTTTTCCCTCGTTCTTCCTACGTGTCCTTAAAGCTAGACCTTGTGTATTTTCAGGAAAAGATTCGGAGATTGGGAAATGGAGATTACTTGGGAAAGATTGTGTGAGTGCAGATACCCGATGTACTGTCTGTCCCCATTGATTTTTGACTTCAAACTCCTCAGTGCACGTAAAGGCAGTGACATGGAAGTCAAACATTGTGCTATGCTTTTTGTTAAAGCACTTTCTCACTCTCCAGACCTGCCAACTGTGTCTTTGCAGGGCTGCATTATTTGGGATGATGAGAGTCACGATGTTAGCTGCCATGGTAGAGCTGAATAAACACAGATGATTCAGACACCTTTTAGCCGCACGTGGTGGCTTTTCTGCCAGTGGAGAGCAGGGAGACAAGGCTGGGGCTGGTAGAATCCCAGCCACATCCCCAGCTCCCTCACCCGACCTGAGCTTGGCAACTGCAGTTTGTCTCACTGACCTCCATGCTTGATTTCCAGGTTGTGTCTCACTTTCCTACTGCTCAGACTGCCTTGTACCCTTTGTGTCCTCATGTGTTTATCCTCTGGTGTGTTTTTTTTTCTCGCTCCAGGGAACGGATGCGCCAGTCTGCAATGTTTGAACTGTGCCAGGGGATGCATCAGATCAGTCTGCAGTTCGTTCGCTTGCAGCTCAGCTTTGAGGAGTACACCATCATGAAAGTTCTGCTGCTGCTGAGTACAGGTAAGTTAAATTCATGGGGACGTGGAAAAAATTCTAAATTGCAAATAGGTGCAGTGATTTGAATTGGTAAAACAAAAGAGCCCAACTATTTCCAGTGGACCTGAAAAGCCTGTTTGTATGTTACAGGATTTTTCAGTAGGTCTCGCTTTCCATTACCATGGGAGTTGTCTTGATACTTCAGAGTAAGTGGTAGGGCAAGGGGCTTTGGTCCCTCTCTCAGTTTAGTAACGACTGGAGTCAGTCAGGCATGCCAAGAAAATGCAACTACTGCATTGTCTTGCACTCTGGGGATATGAGATAAACCCTGACTTGATGCTTAAAGGCAGTGGTTTGGGTGACTTAACAGTACCTCCAAGATCAAAAGATGTACCGCACTGAGCACGATAAGCCCTTTTGCAGTACTCTGAAAGTTTAATAATTGACATTGCAAGCTTTATTTTTCTCTCATGTCATCTTAGTGGTTTTTTTAAGATAGGAAACCTCGGTGTTCATTATAGCACTACGTACTAATTAGCAGATCAGTTGATATTCTTCTGCTAAAACTTCTGAAAATTTTCCAGTCCCGGTACAATTGTATAAATACAGAGGCAGTTTGTACTTTCCCATCAATCTTGATGAAAAAGCCAAATACCTGTAAACAAACCTTTCTGTGTATGTTCATGCTCTTTTTTGTGAGATTCACTCGGTGACCTCTCAATGAGATAATGAATCAGTCTGATTAATGAGCACTCGTGATGTCACTTCAGTGAACTCACCAGACAGGAATTCCCTGGCAGAAAGGGGTTGGATGTGGCCCTGACTGGGGAGAGAAGGAGCAGGAGATCCAAGGGGCTGCTCCTTGCTTTCAGTTGCTAGCAGCAGGAGGCCTGCCCCAGGGAGTGCTGTCAGGAGCTGGTTAGGACTCCCAGGAGTTTGCTGAATCCCCAGCAGTGGCATAGGCATGGTTGCTGCAGGCAAAGTAAGGTGCCTACAAAGGGATTTGCAGCATCCAGTCAAGGCCATTGGCAGCCCCTCCAGGTGCAGTGGTGGGACGGACACTTTCACGTTGTCTGCGGTGCCTTTCCTTCTGACCTCACCACCCCGCCCAGCCGGTAGCACATTAATGTGCTTGCCTATGATAGAAAACATGAAGCTGCAGTTCTCATCCCTGCTGGAAGGGATTTGGATCTGCTAACAGAAACTTCCCATGGCTGTAAGTTTTTGGGCTTGGCTGTCTCGCTTCCTCCTTCCCTCCTGCTGAAGCCGTCCAGCTCTCAGGAGTGGGGCAGTGCCTGCATGAGAGAGACAGGGTCTGGCCTCCAGCTCCGCTGAGGAGTTGAGGGGATGCTCTGCTGGGGAAAGTGGGACCGTAAGGACCTGACAGTCTTTCAGGAAGCAGCTAGTAGCATTTATGTGCTTGGAGGACTTAGCTCCCAGACTGTTCTTGAGAGCATGTCTAGATTGGCAAGGTGGTCCTACATTTCATAAAGGGAGAATATTTAGAAAAAGAGCGTAAAGACATTCTAAAAATGTAGCATCCTTTCTTTAAGATAGGTATTTTTAATATTATCTGGGTATTATATCTCTGCTAGGTGAGATCAGCCTCACCAGTTAACTCCAGCTAGCTGGGTCCCTTTGAAATGCACACCATGATCACTAGAACACCTACTAAAAATAATGTGTTTTGGGAGAATCAAGATACTTACGTTGAGAGAAAGAGAGAAGAAGAAAATGGAAATGAAGACAGTGATAAAACTCAGAAAGTCTCATTGGATGAGCAGCAAACTTAGTTTCCAGTGATTGTACCTTGATACAACATTATGGCAGAAAACACCAGGTTCATTTTCATTTAAGTTCTTTATTGAACCCTGTAATGAGCGGAGTGCAAGTTATTTTGAAACTTTCGTGATGACCACATCAAGGAAGTTTCACTCCATTTACATGTGGAAGAAACCACACATTACAACTCAATTGTTTTTTTGCTTTCCACAGACCATAGATTTTGGGAACTTGCCAAAAGCATTGCTGCATGTAATAAGTAGAATCAGAAACACTGGGCAAACCTCCAGAATTTCATGTTTTGCTTCAGTTCTTTTTATTTGTGGTCTCTCTTTCTGTCTTAATAATCTGGCTGGGCTGACGGTATAATAATTTTCAGACAGAACACTAAAATACATACTAGTACACAAAAAGAATGTGGCTTAAGCAGAGCTTAGGAAGACAGAACTGGGGTAAAGGAACTATAAAGCCTGTGCATTTTGCACAGGGGCCACAGTATGCTCTAATGGCTTTACTCATCTTGACTGATGTCTCTATATTCACTTGGCTTTAACTGAATTGGCACATCTGTTTCAGACAGTTTATTTTTTCTGTCAGCTGAGTGATGGAAATATTTGGCATCTACAATTTAAAATTTAAACAGAAAAGAGCAGTATTTACCAAGTGGTAAGCAAATTGGAGCTCTTACCTCCTAGTCTGCTTCCCAAGATTCCTCCTCGTGCCCCCTTGGAGCACTTGGTGGTCCCAAGTTCTTGCTGCTCGCATGGTGGCAGAACTCCTCCTTGTTTTCCATTACGAAATTGCTCTGGTTGATACAGGTGATAGAAGATAACAAGTGCTTTTTCTTAAGGCCTCTGCTTGAGCACTTTGGGTGGTTGTTATGTGCTTATTATGTGATTACACTGAGATAGAAGGCAGTTTACAGGATTTCAAAGAGAAGGGGATGGATGAACAAGACAATCTCTGTCAAGATGTTAAATCAGAATAAGCTAAATTGGAAGATCACCCTTTTTCTTTTTTAATAAGTAACTTCACATTCAGCTTACTGACATAGCTTTCCAACTTGCTTAGAAAATAAGCTCAATCCAGTACAGTGTAGTATTTTGTTTTTCTTCTGTAGACTAACATCTAGAGTATAGAAATATCTGACGGTTAAGCAATAGTCAATCAATCCAGATATTAAAACATGAAAACATTTTGTGTGATGTTGTTAATAACCTCTTCAGGAGTTTCCCAGAGACCTGATCAATAAGTAATTCCTGTTCCTTTGCAGAGCCCACTAGAGTGCAGAAGTACTTACAGCCTGTAAAGAAACTTTGTATTTGCTTTTGTAATTAGCATTGCTGAAGTCAGCTGCAGCAGAACGTGTCAAAACTCTACTTATAGCCCATTTGTGAAATGATTCCTTTGGCAGTTGACAACTTTGATAGGACAGTAGAAACGCTTTCATTAAAGGCTGCAACTGTGCTTTGGTCAAACTCTGGTCAGGATGCCTATTTGGAAAAGAGTCTTGTTACACATGGAATAAAGACCCTCTGTTGTAGGTGTTATGCAGATGCTCACTATCGTTCAAAGAAATGTTAGATGTTACTTGATGCCACTTTTTAGCATTTCTGCACATCACAGCTGTAATTCTATATGTCTTCCCCTCCTCTCTGAAGTGTGGGAAATCATTCAAGAATGGTAAATCACATCTTCAGATTCTAAAGAAGTATTCATGATACATCTGCCTTTCTTGGTGTGTGTGTGTGTGGTTGGGTTTGTATTAAAAACAGTTTCAGCACGAGGGTAGTATGTGTCGTATTTGTGAGATGTTATTTTGTCCTCTGCCTCAGCCATGTGGTCTGCACTCATGGATCTGGAGAGGAAGAGAGGCCGCTTGAATCACTTGAAAATCTGTGTGCTGATTGATTCTATAGCAGTGTCTGTAAAATTGTGGATGTTACTTAATAGTTTTAATTCTTTCATCCATTGACTAAAAAGTGTAACTTTTTAAGTATGCACAGCAGAAGAATTAAGCAATGCAGTTAATATTAATGTAAGACTGTCTTTTTAATGACAGTTCCCAAGGATGGTCTCAAAAGCCAAGCTGCATTTGAAGAAATGAGGGCAAATTACATTAAAGAACTAAAGAAGATGGTAACTAAATGTCCAAGTAACTCTGGGCAAAGCTGGCAGAGATTCTACCAACTGACTAAACTTCTTGACTCCATGCATGATGTAAGTATAACTCCTCAAGGAGTGCAGACAAGTTGAGTAAAATTCTCTCCGTTAAGGTAAACTTGTAGTTTTTAATTGTGCTAATTCACAGGGAGAAAAAAAAGCACATTCTTAAAGAAATGTCTGGGAAAAGTTGTTAACAGACAAATTCAAGGTCAGTTGCCAAGTAAAATGTGAGAGCACAAGTCATTAAGGGCTGGGTTCTGCTGCCTTCTCCTCTTCTAAATGGTGGTATGTTCTCCAGTGGTTCCTTTAAGATCAGAGGCTCTTCAACTGCAAAAATGATGTTAGCTGTGGTCCTCGGTTAGTTGCAGTGCACATACACCATGCAGGACCTCTGCTGATAAATGATGAGTTGATTTGCTGATCTTTTACAGGTGTTTTTTTTTGGTGGTTTTTTTTTTTTTTTTTTACATTTTTAAATATTGTTGACTTTTTAAGACTTTGGAACCAATTTGGTTATTTGAAGCTTTAACTGTTTTTTTTTCAAGTATAAAATTCGCTGTGTTGTTAGGTTGTTCTTTCTGTCCTCTTTCACTCCAGTGCTAGGTGTTTGTTTTCCATGCTTCAGGGGCGAGATGTCATGGATGACAATAGGAAAGTAAAAGTTTAGTCCCAAAATGCCCCGGCTGTGGGTGCCTCAACTCCTTACAACTCGGAAGGGTTGTGGTGAGTGCCTGGTGCGCAGGAGCAGCTCATGATTTCAGAGCAGGTGTCTGTAACATTGGGCTGGGAATAAATAAGCTGGTTCTGGCTGATGGAGTGGTAAGCACAGCAGTTTTGGCCCTCTGAGCAGCAGTAGGGCTGTACCCGTACGCCCTCTGTAGCAGAATCCCAAGGCAGGGATACAGCTCCATGGGCAAACTCATAGCCTTCACTGCTGATCGCAGCTCTCACATTCCACGCTCTCTTTCAGGTGGGACCCCCTGTGAGGATACAGGTGGACCAGCCATGATGCTCTCCGCAGCCTGGGGGTTTCAGGGCACTGTGTCTTGCTGGGCTGGCACCCCTTCTCTCTGAAGCTGTCATGGTTAGCAAATGAGTGAGGGCTCCTAAGGTCAAAGAGTGAGTTTAGCCAGGTTTGGGTGCTATGGAGGCGTCATCCCAGAGGCAGGGCTGGAACCCTGTAATGCTCAGGGATGACATCCCAGTAACAACTGGTAAACGAAAAGAAAAACTGTCCTATTTCACCCCAGGCGGGCAGGAAGGTAAATGTGCTGCACAAAGAAACTGTAACTCTTGCTTTCAGAGCCTGAATTTAAATGTACTTCTTTGTACTTGATTTAAATTTCAGTTTTGTAGAGACAGTACAGTACAGTGCACTTCAGGTCAAATCTGTATAAGAGCCCGAGGTCTGTTTACAGAATGTACATATGGAATTATTTTTCAAATATTGTTCTGTTGTTCATTAAAACATTGAAAATCTTAGTGGGAGGCAGGGAGAGTATTATTAGTACTGCAGTAACAGCTCATTCTTTGGAGATCAGGTTTCACTTGCTGCGTGCCAGCAAAGGAAGTTGTAGTGTTTTAGTGGAAAAAAAGGGGGTGGGCGATAAAATCATTCGCAAGATGTTCACTTCTGAACCTCAGGACAGCTCACAAACCCCTGTGTTTAGATGGTTTTCTGATCCTTTGGAGAACCAACGCTATCTCGGTGTTTAAGTGGATGTGTTTGCATGGTTCGACTGGCTGGGTAGCAGGATCACACTTGCTAGGAATGCCACAGTATCCTACAAACATTTTCCAACACACAGCACTAACCACTGGAAGCTGAGCTAACCAGAGGAAGAGCTCCCTCAGACTGCTCTTATGTTTTATTTCATTTTTAATGAAGCTGTTTTTATGTCACTTTTCATTTAATAGAGCCATTTATTACAAAAGGACTTCATAAAGAAAGTTATATTGCCGGCATTCCCTCCACAAAGACCACTTGTACAGCACTTCCTTTCAGAGGTGTTATCTGAGGTGTTCAGCAAAGACACTTCACTTATTTTTCTGCTTTAAAATGGATTATTTTCGGTTTTCAGTTTTTGAAACCCATCGGAACAAATGCAGGACAGTGATAATATTAATGAGACGTGAGAGCTGCTCCTCTACCCCCACACTCAGGTAGTGCAGGATTTCTCTGCTCTATCCACGGAAATGCAAGTTTTCTGCTCAGTTCTTTCCTTGTGAGGAACACTTTTTCAGCTGCCACCTGTGTATTTTTAACTTACTCCATTATAATTTTAGAGGATCAGAATATATTTGGTGCTGAGCAGTCTAACTGGAGCTGAAGTTCCCTGTTTTGTATGCTGCCGTAGCTACAGCAATGGCATTTACAGCACAAGCCCAAAGGGATTTGTGTACAGTTGATGATTATTCAGTCCCTGTGCTGCCTCCAGCTTTTGCATCAGAGCAGAGCAGCTTCTCGCCACTGTGGAGTTCGCTTTACCTGAGCATGGCAGCCAGGAATAAAGGAATACTGCTGCTTTGCACCTTCATGCTTCCTTTTATCGACCTGATTTTTAAATAGGCTTTCTGAGGGCTACATGAAATAAACAGTGTGGGAATATCAGGTTACAGGCTGCTTGGCTTACATAATGTGAGGAAGGAAAAAGAAAAAAAAAACACAAAAACCAATATGCTTTTACATCACTGTGTGTTCTAAATCATTCAGCCACAGTGAACAACATATGTGCAGGTAAGGAAGTGCCGAGATGGGGAAAAAGGAGAATTTTCAAGAAGGCCAGGTAGGCGCTGAAATATTTGGAAAAATCAGCAACTTTACTTAACAGTCCATAAAGCCTCTGAGCACCAAAGCAAAACCCAGAAAGCTGAGATGGAAATCCACCCTTAGCAGACAAAGCAAACACGGGTCCGTGCCCATGCGTCACCGTGCGCTGCAGCAGCGCTCTGTGTCTGCGTGGTGCTGCATGGAAGTGGTGGCTGCAGCAGCAGCAGCAGCAGCAGCAGCAGCAGCAGCAGCAGCAGCAGGTGCTTGGAGGCTGTGTCAGCACAGTCACGTGGTGTGCCCCTCCTCTGCCTCAGTGAGATGGTGGAGGTGAGCTGGTTGCCATGTCTTTGCATGGCAGCATGGGTAGCTTCTAGGAGCAATTCTGGGAAGCAATATGATCCACAGATTTCCCTTGGTATAGGGACAGTATTTTTTCTCTCAAGTCTAGCCTGCTTTCCTTGTCTTACGACAGCATTACGTGCTGAGAGCCACCACATCACAGGGACAGCCCATGTGTGCCCGGGAGGGAAATGGTTCAGCCTCATGCCCAGAGATGGGCCTGGGCATGTCAGTGACAGGTACACGTGGTGCCCGGTCATAGGTGAACAGCGCTGTGTGATCGGCGAACGGCACACGGGAACATTAGAAACAGATGTACTGCACATGGTATCAAAAGCTTCATTTGGAGCCTCCTCAGCATCTCCTGTTGGCTTTGGCAGGAAGCGCTGTATCTCGTATGGCAAGCCTCATTTCATATACAGAGCTTAGGGTATGGTTAGGCGCTTTGCACAACAAAAGCTGAGTTTGGTTTCAATCTGGCTGATACTAAACAGATTTTGAGTTAAGAGGGCTTTTGTTTTGATGCCATGACATTAAACCCTAATGTGAACCTTCCCCTTGTCTTGGCAAGGCAGTGCGCTGCTCTGTCATTTGCTTGTTGATATTTTCTGCCAAACAAAAATAAATTCTTTAAGGCTCATGCTGCTGAATAATTAATTTTTTATGGTTCCTGAAGGGAATACTTTATAGCTGAGGTGGATCTTTCCGTAGGCTGAGAGAGCCAGGATTACACTCGCTGAAAAAGCTGACAGTGGGAAGAAGGCACAACTCCTCCAGGGGCAGATCTGCAAGGCACGCTGCAGTGGATGCAAATGTTCTTCTGCACTCGATTCTACAAATGCAGAGCAGCAGATGGGCCCCTCAGCTGTTGCCAGCACCTCTGGGTGCACTCACTGCTGATCTTGATGCGCCAAGGCTGTATCCCACTGCTGATGAGCTGTGTAGTCCCAGCGCCGAATTCTGTGGGGAGGCGTTTCTGTGTGCACTGAGAGGCAATATTAACCCCTCAACCCTCTGCAGCCACTGCAGAAACTACAGCCATGTGCATGTTGTAGTAGTTAATGCGTGTCTGTGAAGTGAGAAAAGAGATCCCAGCTCCCTGACGCAGACAGTGGGCTGCTTTAAATCTCATCTTGCTCCCTTTGTGGTTGGGCATCCTCTGTTTCAAGGTGTTTGTTGGAGGACAGCAGAGCTCTCCATTCCCAACAGAACAAGGCAGGCCTTGCCCAATGCTTACCCTGGCCAAGGGCTGAGGATGCTTCATTAGTGTGTGCCTCTGAGTTTGCATGCATCCTCTGAGTGTACAGAGTTCAGCTCAGGTTCCTCTGTGGCACGTCCAGCTGTCAAGATCTAAGCTACCTGCAGTGCTGTGGTTTCTGTGTGCATATGTTTATGGAAGGAGGAGTGGAATGAGTGCAGTTCCTAAGTGAGATAAATGCACCTGTCCAGGCAGAACTAGGTTCCCTATCTGCTCTGGTTAGATACTTCTTGTGCCTAATCCATTCGCTTTTTATGTGTCTTTCACTCCATGCTGCCATGAGGTAAATGCACAGCATGGCTGGATTCAGAAGCTTCTTTCCTTGCCTCTTTTCCCCTGTGTTTTGTGGGAAATGTCAGTCTTTCAATTTACAGTCCCAGATTTCATAGGGAAGGAACAGAGCATCCAGGAGATAGCCACTGAGGCCACACGAACCTCTGAGAAAGTGCCTGAGCCATCCTGGAGTGCTGTGTTCAGCTGCTGAAGCCTCAGGGGAATCGCTGAGTTGCATCCTAGGAATTTCATAGAACTAGAAGCAAAAGGGGCTACAGTTGTAAAGGAATAGCTGAGACTTGGTTGGCAATTGTTTTTCTTGGTGGTTCTGAGGCAGAGTATGCACTGCATGTAAGGGAGCTGCCTCCTGCCAACTCACACCGCTCCAGCTCCATAAGAAACAGGCACAGACTCATTCCTATAAGTTAAAAAAAAAAAGTTTTTGGACTGTCATTGTGGAGTGAGAATGCTGAGGTTTTGTCGGTGATAGCTGCAACAGTAACAAAATGTTACTTGGTGTTGCATTGTTACCCAACTGGTAAGGAGGCTTCGTTACAGACTTGCTTCTGACAGGGCAGTGTCCGTGGACTTCCACACCACGCACACAGATCATGGAAGATTCCCACGTGAGATAACCAGCTTGGCACAGGAGCATGCAGCCCTGCACGAGAGAGACTGCTCCAGGCACTTCTGGCAGCACCAGGCGTGCTGTGAGTGCCAAACTGAAAGCGATGCTTTTTGCTGTCAAAAAAATTATCAGTGCTCAGAGGTCATGGTAAATGTATTAACTTCAGAAACTTCATTAAGAGATTTCATTTTTCTAATTATGAAGAGCAGAATGGGTGGAAAAAGTCCATTTAATGAAAAAACCCACCCTAATAACAGAAAATGAAGTTTGATTATTCGTCCTCTTTCCCAGAGGCATTTAATACAGCATACAGATGTAAAGATTGATTAAGAAAAAATCTGAGGACTACTAGGAGGGCTGTAGCCTTGAGAATGTTTAAATGCAGTTCTGCAGGCAGTGATGACAAAAGGACGAGCAGTTAGGGACTGATGCAGTGAAGGGTTCCAGACCACAGGTCATCCCTGCCTGCAGAATTCTATGCAGCAGTCTGTTTGGTGAAGAAAAATCATGAGGCAAACATGGAGGTGTGTTATCTTTCTCATTTAGAGATCACTTGTAGCCTGTGGTGTATCAGACACTGTCACCACAAGGACAGAGCTTGTATCTTCAAAAAGAAAACAAGCTTTTAATTTCCTTACTGGAGAGGGAGTTTCTCTTCTAATGCAAAGGTCTAGCTAAATTACTTACCACTTATAAATCAAGTGAATTGGTGTGCCTTAATATCAGATGAATGCTGCTTGGGTTGCAGAAGCAGGCCTCATTTCAAAACTAACAGTGCCAATGGAGCCTGCATTTCTCATTCCTTTGTGCCAAGGCCGCTGGGCAGCATTTGAGCAGGAGTGAACCATGTGTAGAATGAGCACTGCTCACTGCTTAGTTCTCAGCCTTCCTTCTCCCTTCCGTCAGTTATTTCTGCAGCCTTTGCTAGCTGACCTTACCATATTGTTCTCATTTTAGAGCTTCTGATTCTCCTATGTCGTTTGTTAAAAATATATATATTTATATATAAATGTATAAAAAATACTAGTACTAGGGCCCCAAAGAATGCAGCTTTTAAAGCTAGTTACTTAATGATAGTGCAGTGGTCCTTGTTTCACATCAGCTACGTGCGCTTCAACTCTAAGCTCTGAATGCTGTTGCTGTATTACACTGACTGATTGTTGTTGAATATGTTGAAGTTGGTAACTTGGCTTAAGAAAGGAATAAGAGGGCCAAACATTTGAGAGGACTGACTTGGTACAGAACATATTAAGGCTCCAAAACCAAGTAGTTTTAGAGTTCTGGATGATATTTTTTCACTTGCTGGGTAAACTTAACTTTTCTTCTCCCTTGGCATGAGTGGTGGCTCTCATGATGTGCTCTTATGACAGCAGCTGTGATCACCTCCTGTTTTTCCTACTGGACTGTTACCTCATTTATTGTATAGAACAGATTATGCTCTTTTCATGAATACTCACATTTTTCAGTTCCCCTTTATTCTACATGTCCACATGCTCATGTATACTTAATATGACTAACAGCTAGCTGTAAAGGCAGAATTAATAATTTTAGTATATTTTTCTGGTTCACTGCGTTTGTCATTACTTTAAAAAAAATAGCAAAGCAGTAATACTGTAAGATTGTCATAATGAGGCAGGAATTAGCTTAAATTTTGCAGCAGGTGAGCCACATGGTTGGTTGGGTGGCAAGGGCTGGCAGAGATGCCCCAACCCGCTCTTCTATTCAGCAGTGTGAGAGTACTTGTGTTCAGTGTCCAGGCAGGGCTTGGTTTGTAAGGGTTGGTTTGCTGAGGTGTTGCTGTTTGATGGCAGGGGCAATAGGATGGTGGCTGTGTGCCAAGAGCCAGCATAGTGATATATTTTCTGCGTATGGTGTAGGCAGGAACAATCTCCTCCTAATGGCCGAAGTTGAACTTTGGAACATCAGCATTTTTTCCTTGAAAACCAAATTCTGTCTACACTGCTTCTTTAGCATGCGTCTGTTTTAATTAAATAGCATGACCTCACGACATGCCAGATGATCAGGAATGAACTAAGCAATGGCAAAAAGACACAACTTGCTTGCTCAACAGCAGCAAGTTACGTGTCTCAGTGATCCCAGCGTTTCCTCAATGTTCATAAACTGCTTGTATGTTTGCAAGAACAGCTGTGAAAATCCTGAAAATGTCTGGTATGGTATCGTGCTGCAGGAGGGCTGTCCAACATTGCCTGTATGAGGTTATTTTTCAGTCTTGCTAGAGTACACTTCTATTTCCTGCCTCTTTAACTGAACTTTACTGCAGAGTACAACTCTGTGTTGAGAACTGAAACAGCAAACTTGTATTTAATAAGGGTACGAGGACAAATGTATAAATCTTTTGTAAGGACAGAAGACACCAATGTTGAATGTGCGTAATTTTTGACTTTGTAAAACAGTCTGCAGTTTTGTGTGGAGACAGATAAAAAAGATATAATTCATGTAGTGTGGTCCATTTCCTATAAGGTATATAGCAAAAATGAAGCTCTGCAGCTGACAAATGAGAAGAACAGAACTTGAGACAAGGTAGAATCCAGACTAAATTTATCTGTGCTTTTAAGACATGCACTGTTTTTTTCTCTACAAATCAGAAAGCTGATGGTATCTGTATGCCGTTTAGGATTTTAACTTGCAACTCTTTGTCAGATGGGAGAACTGTGGTAGGATTTCATCGATGAAAACTTTTGCCAGCTAAAGGATTGCTGCTGCTGAGCATAAGGTGTGCATGGGATCTGTGGTATATAGTCTGTCCTATATTGAGCAACTCAGTACTTGAGGTATCATATAAGTTTCCTTTTCTGGGAACTCCTGAGACTCCTTAGAAATTTTTATCTCATCTTTCACATTCTACACATCGTGCTTAGTGGGCTGTTATCAAAAATAGAGAACTTTATTTTTGAAAAGAACTAATAAATAGCTAAATAGTGCCTCTGGAAGCTTAATAAGAAGAAAACAAAAAGTGTGGCTGGTGTGTGCGTGTATCACAAAGGTATTGACACATGAACACAAATGTTTTATCTGCTCAACAGCTCCACATTCAGCTGGGATGTAAAGATACCGTAGGTTATGGCTGATCTTTTCTCTGGGGGCAGAAGCCTTTACTTTCATGGACGTGTGGAGCACCAACTGTTTTCATAGTGGCCAGTTAGCTCTTAGTGAAATGAAAAGTGTAATAGCGTTGAAAAATGAGTTCGACGGTGGTAATACGGTTTCCCTTCATTAGCTGATTTTTGAACAGCGAAGAAGCACTTTGAGATTTGAGAGCTTTTGTTTGCCTGTCGCTTCGTTGCTTGCAAATGGGCTGTCCAAGTCAGAGTAAGATACCATTTTCTTAGTAATAATCTCTCATTGTCAACAAGCTCTTGTTTGAATACAAAATTCTCCGCACTCTTCCTAAAAAATGTTTCTTTCTGTGTTTCAGCTTGTTAGTGACTTGTTGGAATTCTGTTTCTACACCTTCCGAGAGTCTCAGGCACTGAAAGTAGAGTTTCCAGCCATGCTGGTGGAAATCATCAGTGACCAGCTACCAAAGGTGGAATCTGGGAATGCCAAGCCCCTGTACTTTCACAGGAAGTGATAGAAAATGTCTTAAACGGAAGAACTTTGCCTTAAGTTTCCCTGTGTTATTCCACACCCATGAAGGACCCAAGAAACCATATTTTAAACATGCTATTTACACTCGTTCTGCAGTCTCTGAATAGTCTAAAATCATATGAAGGGTTTGGGGAATGGAAAACAGTTGACTTGGATTTGGCAAGACCTAGATGTTTGGAAATTACCCCATAACCCTAAAACACTTAGAAAATGTTCCTGTTCCTCTGGATGAAAAGCCATATCTAGTCAATAACTCTTTGATTTTGATATTTTAACAGATGGAGTTTTAAATATGCCATGTAGTTTCTGGTATCGTTTGCTTGTTTTAAAAGGGTTCAAGAACTAATGAGAACTTTTTAAAGCTTACCCTTGGTTTGCACATAAAACGTAAAGTCAATATGGGGCATTAATATTCTTTTCTTGTAAAAAAAAAATAAAAACAAACAAAAACTCTATATATACACATATATACACACACAAAAAAAAAAAACCAACCCTACTGTGTAAAGTAATAACAGAACATTTGGTGTGGAATACTCTGTTATCCCCACCTGTGGCATTTGTTATCCCATGTTATCCCGCCCTAGATGATATACACTGTGTTAAGTGTCCATTTACTATTTAATTAAGAAGGATAAGATGTGAAAACAAATGCCCTGGTATCAATTTATAGTATCTATTGTGCTGGCTTTACAAATAATTTTTTGCAGTCTTTTGCTGTACTGTACATTGCTGTATGTATAAATTGTGAAGGACCTGAAATAAGGTGTAAGGAACTTTTGTAAATGAGACAAACAAATCTTTAATGGTTAATAGGATGAATGGGAAAGTATTTTTGAAAGAACTCTATTTTGCTGGAGACTATTTAAGTACTATCTTTGTCTAAACAAACAAGGTAATTTTTTTGTAAAGTGAAATGTTCTGCATGCATAATGAACCGTTTACAGTGTATTTAAGAAAGGGAAAGCTGTGCCTTTTTTAGCATCATATCTAATTTACCATCCTATAGTATCTGTTGTAAATAACTACACTTAACCTTTTCAGTTGTATTTAAGCCTTTCTATTCTCCTCCATATTTTTCTCTCTTTTGTCTCGCTTGCAAGTGTACGTGATGAGCACATCTTGGAAATCCTGCTCCATGTTTCTGTAGGAAACGACACTTTTTTGTGTTTGCCACTTACGAAGGTTTCATTTAACAAGACAAATTACAGTCTCTCCAAAGCTTTTGCCAGCATAATGATAGCGTGAGTTCCTGCCCTCGACTCCCTTTGTCTCCCAGGAGAGGAGAGGCAGATAAGCCGTTGAATGATTTTGCTATTTTTAATTAATGTTTCCCAAATTGTGTTTTTTTTTTGTTTGTTTGTTTGTTTTTTTTCCTTCGAATACTGGATACATGGAACATCTTTGAAGGTCAGATTATTATTTCAGATTGAGGAGAACGATTTCTGATTATGAGGAAGGGAACATGCAGATCACGACAGTAAAAACCAGCAAGATGGATGGCAAGGTACCGATATGGGCAGATTAGCAGAGTAGAATTTTTAGTGGTAAACTCAAAGCGCGTTTAATTTTGTATGAATTTTTGTAATAATCAGAACACACGGAAAACTGTTGACGCTACAAGTTCAGCTCGGTCTGATTTTGTCTCAAAACATTTTCTCTAGAACGAGACTGTGAACAAAACCTTTTTGAGGTGATTTACACTATATTTCACAATTTGTAAACGAATACAAATTTTGGTGTAGAATAGAGGACAGATGAACTTTTCTGAGGCTCAACTGTTGCTACCATATGCTAATTTAAATAGAATAGTTTTTTCTGAGTCCTAATCTGTAGTGTTTTTTCTGGGTGACACTGATGTTTTTGAGCTATGATTTGTCCCTTGACCAGTCAGAATGTAGCATTTCTTTGAAACAGTGGTCCAATAGGAGTTACGTACCCTTTCTGATTCCAAATTTTGAGGTGTGCTTTGGTGCACTGAAGACAGTCAGTGCTACTTGTCTTTTTAAATGACACCTGCCTTATGCAATGGGTAACCTGTAAAGACTGTATTCAGAGAGGTTTTTTATATATAAATATATACATACATATATTATTTGCATTTTGGAAGTCTAATTCATAGGCAGATCTTTAAATACTGACCTGCACAGCAATATGAAAGCCAAACTTCCAGTGTGAGATACACAGCATGCAGACTGGTTGTTTACAGTAAAGAAACAGTCATACATCCATCTTTTCACCTTTTTCTTTTTTTTTTTAATTAATTTTTTGAGTCTAAAATAGACAATTTCAAAGCCAGGTTCTGGGTGAATACAGTCTGCAGCAGCTTTTTATATTAACAAAGTTACTGCCTCCTTTTCTGTCTCAGAGTAACTTTGCTTGATTAAAATAGCAAAGCCATATTCTACACTTCACTGTTAAATGCCTGTCCCAGTCCAAATTGTTGTCTGTTTGCTCCTATTTTTGTACCTTATTACTTTTAATCTTGGTTTGGTACAATTCATAATTCACAGAAACTTCATATAATTAAACACACTAAATTAGTTTTAAAGAGCAATTTATATCTTTATGCAAAAACGTATGTCTGTCTTTGCAAACAACTGTAAGCAGATTATAATAAATCCTTTACTTTAATCACCTGTTGTTTATGAAACCATTCATTGATTATTATTTTTTGCTAGAGCTCATTGAAATTGGATATAGATGTTGTAAGAGGCAGTATTCTCTTATCAAGGACACAAGCAGAATAGCCATCACTTTTTTTTCTTACCTAAACCTGCGTACAGCAGAAAACAAAAGCTTTGGTTTTTAGCTACCACGAAGTTATGGTATTTTGAATTTGTTTAGAATGAAATAGGCATTTGTCTCCTGCAAAATACAAGACAAACGAAAACATCCTTTAAGAGTGGGCTTCTGTTCACTGAGCTAAATTATTTTGTTGTAAGAAAGGACGGGGATATACAGCAAGAGCATTGTATACCAGTTTAAAATGTAACATAGTGTCGATGTACTGCAGTGGGTATTTCAGGAATACTATGCGCCGTGCAACCAATAGGTTGCACAAAATAAAATAGACTAAAGTTTGCAGTAGCAAAATCTTATTAAAACGATACTTTACAATCAATAATGCAAAAAGCTAATTCACAGGGTGGTGTTTTTCACTGACTTGTTTAAGCATTTATGAGATTAAACAATTCTACAGTTAATGCACTTTTAATTGTTTATTAAAGATTTGACTTTCTTTTTTTAGAGCAATGTTTTCAGCTGGAGGTCAATGACTTGATAAGATAGACAGCAAGCAGTTCTGAGGCCAGGAAGCTCAGAGGAATGTTTAAGCACTCTTGGAATTTAACTAGATTCCTGGATGGAAAAATACAAGCAGCCAGCAGTATGGTGTAAACAGTAACATCTATGCATAATGATGCATTTATAATTAGGGGTTTGCTTCTGTATGTTTAAAGCTTTTTAAATAAATAGAAAATATTGTTTGGTCTTTATGTTAATGTCTGCAAGTACCTATTTTTTTTTTTTATATACAAATTGTACAAATGTACATGAATTAAACTGGTTTGATTGCAAGTACTTCTTGCATTTTAATCTCAGATAGCTGCTGGTGCACTGATAACCTTAGAAAGAAGCTTCTGCGCATTTGGAAACAATATCCAACACCACAGTAACTAACAGTGCAACCTAACATCTGTCTTCATCCACCTAGAGATTTACATTTATCTAGCTCTATTTCAGCCAGACAGTGGCTGTGCTTAGGGTGTAATAAGAAATGCTCAACTCTGAGGAGTTTGATTCCTTTAATTAATTGGGGTCTTTGTGTTTCCCGAGGAAGAAGTGGTGACACTGACACCAACCACATCCTGCTCAACAAAGCAGGCCCCGCAACCTTCAATAGCTGGGTGTGCCTGGCGTCCAGCTTGAGCTATCCTAAGGCTGCTGCCCCACAGACCAGTTGTTTTTTTCCTTTGTGGAAATAGGGAGTCACTGTTCTGTACACATAAGCTTTCTCAAGTTAATAAACAGCCTTCTCAAGAGCTGAGCCTCTTCCAATTATGCTAAGAAATTCAGAAGGGGAAACACAGCTCTTGCTATGCTGGTTTGTTCTGTGCTCCCCTAAATATTTATTACAGAGTTCAGCACGAAGCTCGGGCTGCGATGCAAGACCACCATTTAACTGCACTTTGCTTGTTGTTTCTTTTAATAGTAACAAGTCCCGCAAACTTTCCATTGCCAAAAATCCTTGCACCTGCCTTCTGTTTGCTGAATTGTCAGAAAAATTGCCCATCTGCTTGGAAGCAGATGTATCTGTCATATGCTGTTCTAGAAATAAGAAAATGCTATCGCTACTTAAAAACAAAACAAAACTTTTTCTCTGACCTCAAGCTGGGACACTGCTTTCTCTGAGGGATCTACAGGGAACAGGACTTCATGTTAAGTACAATAGTATTGCTAAGGTAGAAAGTAGTGAAAAATACCCTTTCATTTCAAAGATGTTTGATAGGTAAAACATGCCAGCCGGCAAAGTGTTAAAACTACATTTTAACTACAGATATCAATAGAATTAGATTTATTATTTAGCGCTTACCTGTGGTTACTGCAAGTGCAGATGAAGGCATGTGGATGAATTCTGCTGGAGAGAACTTTGCCTGAGGCATATTGAACCAACAAGATGCGACTCCAAGGAAGGCTTCCCAATTACCCTGTTTATAGCTTTGGTGCATTTACAGGCTGCACAAACCCTCTGTGAGCAGTGGATGGAATTTGCTCATTAAATTTAAAACCAGGTAAGAATTGTGAAATTGTTAAAAGAAAGAAATGAAGGAACAGAAGAATGAAATTGCAGATTTCTCCCCGAGACTTTTCTATGATGCAATTAATTACAAAGGCTCAGCTAGCAAAAGTTGTAAGCAATGTAGCACAACTGCTTGTTTTCATTACAGGGCAGATAAATCAGTCGTGAGATTTTTCTCTCAACGCAGTGAAGGACTGGGCACCAGCAGGAAACCTGCCGTGACCATCAGGGAGGACAATGGTTAACAACACTCAGCAGCCTGAAAGCCCCAGGGAGAACAGCAAAGTGAAAGTGCCGCTCAGCAAGGAGTAGAGCCGAATGCCGGCCAGTGAGTAATACATACTGCACATTCCTACTGAGCCCGAGTGGGCTGGAGGCTCAGCTTTTCCATCATTCTGCAAGCACATGTTAGGCTTCAGTCCCCGTGGAGGGGGTTCAATCTCTGTTCCCAAAGCAAGGGAAAACGTCACTCTGCATAAAAAGCGCACATCAGCTGATTCCTAAATCGCCCTCCCCCATTTGCAGCCTGCGTCAGGCGTTTGCTTCAGGGAGTCTCAGATTTTGAAAACAGAGTCATACATGCCACTGTGCGCAGCGCATTGCAAGGGCGGGGAAACCCTGCCTGTGGATTAAGCTCAAACCGTACCCACAGCTGGGATGTGAGAACGGCTCCCTGGGAGAGGACTGAGCCCAGAAGTGCTGAGCAGCGCTGCTCCTGCTGCCAGGATACAGCCTGCCAGTCCTTCAGCTGGCTTTCCTCATAGCTGATTTCCTGTCTCCCATCTTGCGTCAAGTTAACACTACACTTCCCAAACCGTGGAAAAGAAAGATGGGAGACCTACTCTGAGACCTGTCTTTAGGAAAGAAAACTAGATCCTCAAAGGCTGGAAAAGGAGCCTGAGTTTCTTGGTAACGTTTTTATTCTTTAGCATCCTTTAATCTCTACTTCCAGACAGTCGCTGTGAGGGCATCACTTACAGAGCTATTCAACAGTAAGAGTGAAGCACAAGAGGTGCCACAGCTGCTCAGCTGCACAAATCCATAGTCAACATTGGTATGACCAGACTGATGTGGAAAATCAAAATCTGGGGGGCAGCTATCACTGCTACATTCCTAGGAGGCAGTGTGGTTAACCTGAAAGCCAGATCAGATCTGGCTCTACTCACACCACTGCTTTTGGACAAGGTCTGGGACTTGAGAAAGTTTGAATTAGCATTACTTCTGCTCAGTGCACCACTTCCCAGTGGCAAAGTTTTCATCTGTGGGTTCTGCATGGCCCCAACAATAGTAGGAATCTCAAAACACCTCACCTAAAGACAAAAAGAGTCACAGGACTGGACTGAAAGGGCAGCATACTGTCTTCTACTCTTTGCATCCACCTTTTTTAACCATCTCAGTCAAAAGAAACAAGAAATGCAGAAAGATCAGAGCTAGGGCTGGGAATTTTGGAAGAAAGCAACCAGAACAAGATCTAGCATGCACTGCACATTTAAAACAGCAACAAAACAACTGGAAGTGACAAAGAAAGCTTGTAAGCTTCAAGTTATCACAGCTTGGCTAACTGAGGATGCCTTGCAGCCACACCTCCTAGGTGAATAACAGGGATTTACATTCTTCCAGTTCTGTCCAAGATTCTCAGCTAATAGCAATGGAATCTGAACTTGGCCACACAGACAACATCCTGCATTCAGAATGACTCTTGAAGGTCACAAACGAATTCCTACAGCTATGGTCCAGGTGACACAACATCCAGCCAGAACAGCACTTTGCCACGTGAACAGATCTGAGCAAGAAAACCTGCCACCTCTTGCTGTATTTATTGGTATGACTATTTCCTTAAAAGCGTATCAAGGAGCAAATCTGAGAACTGGATTTTTTTTACAGAAGTCCAGAAGTAATTTTCTGTGCTTGGTCACTCAGCTGCTGTGCCAAGATAAGGACTGCCTATGGCAGAGTCACCGCTCACATACGAGAAGAATTCACCAAATGAAACTCCTCCAAGCTGTGAGGTTTAGTGCTGGAGAGCCATACTGACTTGGCCACCACTGCTCCATCTGGAAATGATTTGGGCATACTCCAGTGGAGCCTCCACAGTCTAGGCAAAGGAACAAAAAAGCAGTATGGAGTTAAATCTGAAGGGGATAAGAAACACCTCAACCTGAAGGCAGCGTTAACCATTAACTGGTTTACTAATCACATTGGTTAGAAAAACCTGCAAGCAAAGTATGTCTGTAGTAAATTACTCTCAATCCATAGAGTCCAATTTAACAAATAAATGAGCCTGTGCTAACACGCCATCCTGTCAGATTTTCCTGCATCCTCTCCACTGCCTCCCAAAGGGTCTTTCTTGAAGGAGAGAAGAAATACAAAGATAAACGATAGACTGCATGTCACATTTTTATCACAAGGCACACATTTATACACCACAGGGTTTCTCGAAGCTTTTTCTGTGATAAAGATAACTCACTTTCTACACAAATAGTTCTGCAAATTCTGAGGCAGCTACTTGAGGACTGTGATACTATGAAGTATCGTTAAGATCTTACAATCTACAATTATGGGAGAGGAAGAAAGGGAAGCTCAAGAGCCAGCCAGCAGATAAAATGAAAGATTTTTCCAGGATATACAAGAATCACAGAGATTTTCTTTTCCTTTGGCTTGAGTTTTCCAAGTTGCCTGTTTTGAGTTCCCCATCCATTTTAAAGTCTCTTTGTGACTGACTTAATAAAGCTGCCAATAATTATTTAATGTCATAACTTACACAACCAGACAAAATATTCTCCAGCTAAAGAAAGACTAAAGTCAAAACCAAACATCATTTTATTTCATTTACAGTGATATTTTTGAGTAACAAAGGAACCACAGCAGATAGGAGCCTGTAATAAAAGCTCACGTGTCTTCCCTTAATAAAATAAATGAAGTCACACACACAACATAAATGAGCATAATCTTTGAAGACATTTGAAAAATGTCATGTCTTGATACCTATAATTTTACTTACCAATATATCTGTTCCACATCATCTATTCCACTTTTTGAAATATAATTTAGGTGTCAGCATGATCGTTTTTTTTATCCAACAGTACTTTCCACACTCAAATAACAGTCTGTTAAAATGGCTGATATGGATGCATAATCTTCTGGACACTAATTTTTAAAAATCATCTTCAACTGAGAGCTGAGCCACAGATCAACCAAAGATTTTACTTCAAATGCTAGTTACTGTGCAAACATATTGCTACAATTGAACAAACTATTAAAAAAATTAAACCTTCTCGCCATCCAACTGTTCTGTCCCCATCAATTCCAAACCTTGAAGAATCTTTCATTTCTAACTCGTATTTGGCAACACTTAATGTGCTTGAACATACTGGGATCTTCAACCCACAATCAGGCTGGCTCGTCGTTGATTAAAAACGGTCACGAAAGTGAAGAGAAGTGACTATAACAAAAATCCATGGATACCATGTACACCTTGGCGTTCAATGCATAAAGCTATAAAAACTGAACATAATTTTGTGGAATCAGTCCTCTCTTGCCATTTAATGTGCCTTCTAGCCATCCTGGTTCCCTGGAAAATTGCACTGCAAAAGAAAAGAAAAAATACATCATCTTTTTATGCTCAAAATAGTCCTTTTAGATTTAGCTCCATGGCACCGTGCAAAATATCCATGAAAATATGCAGTCTCTTGCAAA